GATGTCAAATTACAATGCAAACAGCACGAAATAGTGGCGAAATGCAAAATACGTGCAGTACCTACACACATGTGTCATTGTGTGAGGCGAAAACGACCCCAGCAGTTATATTTTAAATCTAAGCATACTCCCCTAGCGCAAAGTTAATGCAATAGGGGACATCGTGTCCAACCGTATCAAAATCCAACTAATAGAAGAAATAAGGATTTCAGACGCATGCTGAAGTCATAGGGTAACTGAACAAGTCCCTGCAAGAATTTTTTCGTTAGTCCTACGTGTGTAACTTAAAAACTTGTAACACCGAGGGTACTCACAACAGTAAACTACCTTTTTACCAAAACCTTAAAAGTAACGCTAACAAGAACCTGCCAAGTATGCTTGTCTGGTTTGAAGGGTTGGATCTCAAAAATGTTCCACGATCCAACTTCTTGTTTTGGCCAGGGAAACTAAGATCAGTTAAGCTCAAGGCGAGGTCTGCAGACTAGAGTCCCACGAGGATGGGCCAGATGGACTTGATCGAGATAGTTTGTGTTCGCATGATCAACTCATTACTTTATAATAGATCAGCAGCTGTACTGGATAAGATCATTCTGCTTTCGTACTTCCCCCGAAAGGAGATAAATCTTATTCAGTCCGGCTTTTGGAGCTCAAAAACGCGAAACATTGTGAAATTTATGAAATGCTTGGATGATATCGTATAGTGCCTATAGGGATATTATAACACTAATAGAGTTAATCATGAGAATACAACAGCAGTAAATTTTGCTACAATAGAACCGAACTTGTTCTAAATAAAGCATCAAAGCAAACTGTTTGTCCACGAATTAGTTTCATATTTTTTGAAAAAAATGTGCTGAATATTTATCAAAATTTGACGGTAGCGTGATCTGTCAGTTTCATCCTCTGGGTTAAGAAAAGAATCGATGAAAATAGATACTCGGTATGGTGGAAATTCTTGTAACAACGTAATGAATACGTTTCGGATATGTTTCTTGAAGAAAAATGGCCCACGTACTGACGGCGCAGTGTTTCTTTTATCTAAGTTTCTCAATAATCGAATCAATTATTGGTAGATAGTTGTCAATTTCGCAATCAATCTTTGTCATTTCCGAAGTGAACCGTAGAGTCCATTGTCTATGTTGTAATTTATTGAGGTGATCGACAAGTTTTGTGTAGCAAAACGAACTTTGCTTCATGACTAATGGTCCAATTAAATTGGAGCAATTGGAAACAACCAAAGCAAATATTTTCTGAATATCGGCCATAATCATAGCTATTGGAAAATAGTTTCATTCTATATAGTAAAAAGTTTTGGGTGACAAATATCGCGCAAAGTTAAGTGGAAGGCGTTCGCGAATATTTATCTTGTCTTCGCAACCAGAAAAACTTGAAACTGGCAATAAAAATACGGATAAATTGAGGCAGTTAATCTATCGTTGAAAAGAAACTTGCTTGATTGTGTGCCTTGGAAATAAATTTAGTCGAATACGAAACATTAGAGAATTATTCGGTAAGAGAGTAATCAACGTTTTATTATACTAAACATCGATAGAGCGTGTTTTTTGTAGATTGCTTCCGAGAAAAGGTAAATAAGAAATTCATACGTCAGGAATTACTGTTCCAAAAATAACAAATAACCCCTGCCACCAATTCGAGAACGATGTTAAATTGACCCTCAGGATTCGACAAGTATGTAGCGACCAGCAGGATACAACCGAGTTTCAACAACGACCTCCAATCATACTTCGCACTAAATTGTCCTGTGTAGTCGCACAAAAAAGCTCCATGCCACCAAAGTGAGAAATGGTTGAAACATAAGTCGACTGTAAAGAAAATGACAGATTTCTCAACAATCTTAAAGGGTCTTTTTGAAGTACACGGTATCAATTGATTATATCAAATTACGTAAAAGCCCCACAAAGAGAATATAAAAATTCTACCACTTTTAATGGATTTCCCCGTTTCATTTTAAAATCAGTCACGTGTTTTTGTGTCTCTCTTCGCCACATAACGAAAATACAACGCCAGAGGAAAGAAAAAATACTGCTGAAGTATATGATTCATTGCTGTAATCTTATCAACTAAATGTGAACATGCAAGGCCGCAAAAAATATTAACTACAACAAAACAAATTTCCACTGTAAGAAATAATTCTACGTTTAATTAATCGTGCAGGAATGTCTTTGTTTCACTTGTTGACCCACGCAGAACCTTACTTCGTAATAAAAGCGCACGAGACGCTCAATTAGACCTCGATGAACCAAAATAAATAAACCAAGAAATGTCACGGACCAGTTGTCAGCAAAGCTAGCCATTTCGAAGACATGGAATGTGACGTAACGTTGAAATCATCAATAATGCAACACTTATTAACCCAAAAGGAACATACGAATTACGAAGTTAACATTTTTTGAAGCCACTATGTAAAAATCGAACGCAGTAATTAATACAAGTATAGTTACAACTTTCGGAAGCATATGGAGTCGGTTATACAAGGTGGTAACTATCCTCAAAATAAATCCCAAGCGATAAAACTGCACGAATATTCAAATAAAACTTTATTTTATCTCTGCTTTTAATGACGCTATAACCCCTCGGATGGAGTATGGACAAAATGGCTTTAATCACGGTTAATTCTCAAACTGCGTGAAGTAAAATTTACAAGTTTTCCACAAATCCTCATTTTATTAAGATGCATAAATTAACATAATATTGGTTAGTTAAAAACAGATTAAGCCTAAGAAAGAACATTTGCCAAATTTGCGTTTCGTATTTACATTTAATTTACTTCTATGAAAACAAAATTTATGTTATTGAAAATTCTCCAAACGCATTGCTGTTAACGGGGTTTATGGTAATATTTTTACCAAACACATTTTTAATATCTCTTAAACAAACAAAAGTGACATTACGGCAGAACTAAGAACATTTTTTTAATTACCCGCCATATCTCCTTCAACAGGCCCTGATAATTTATAATATTCTTATCATTTGATTTAAAGCAAACCGAGTACGTCAGTTTACACACTGACGAGACAAAATTTCAAAATTTTATTATAAATGGTCTCACGAGTCACGCGATGAAACAGTTTTTTTTTATCCCTCCATTGAGAAGGGTTGTGATGAATAGAGATAAGACAAACTTCATTTAAACTTCCTTATTTTCTCTCCACCTACATCTAATTCATTAATTATAGAGTACAATTTTTGCGTTTTTAAACTCCTAAACGTGCGAGTAATTTGAAATTTTCTTTGAATCGTGAAAATAGTAGTTGCGTTTAATTAAACAAAACATATTATTAATCGCTACGAAGGGAGAAAATTGTTTTCAAACTTATTAAGTTGCTTAAATTCAAATTAAACGGGGGTAAAAGTGGTTTTCACGGTACGCTCTTTACAAAAAAAAGTCAATTCCAGATTCAATCGGGTCGGTAATACATTCATTTCCAAAGAAACAGGAATTCTAAAATAGCCGGTTTTCAGCGGTTGTGAATATTTATGAAAAGTAAAAATCGAAGGGGGTTTATTTGCCATCCTCCGGAAACAGTTCCATTTTAATTACTCTGCTGAGAAGATAGGGAAGCCTTCACCTACTAATTACGTCAAGCTCAATCCATAATTTCGGAAATAAATAAGGAAAAGTTGTTGCTGGCACAAATTAATACATTACCTTAATTACATAACTGTTTTGTAACTTTGAACGACAGAGATGCCGCAGTTTCGGTACAGAAGCACAAAGAAAGGCAAAATCTTTATGAACTAATAAAATGGTAGACAATTACGCAGATGTATACGTCTCAAATTATAGTTGCATAAGGAGTTCCAATTACAAATTACAAGTTCAGACTATAATTTTTGAAATAAATAAGAGACAATTGCTGATATTACTAATTAACGCGACTGATAATTAAGCACCTGATACGTTGATTTGAAGTGTACGTCGTTAAATGATTAATAATTATATTTAACAAGGTCGACAGGAAAATTTGTTACAAATAATAATTATTATAAGGGGTAAAAATCCGTCAGTGTCATTTAGTTACATATGTAATATTGTAGTTAGATAACAGCAAATAACAATATAAACGTATTTGAGAGTGAAACGTTTTGTAACTAAATAACTAAGAGTCGTTGCTAATAGAATGATAGAGAGGTACGTAGACGTAATTACGTAGTATTAGAGTTAGATAACTAATAGAGAAGTATTTTTGCAACAAATGAAAAGAGTTCATTATGTAAGTTCGATATGTAGTAATTCATCTTTTGTGGTCGGATAGAACAAGGAATGGAAAAGTTCGATGTAAATACGTAATATTAAAGTTACATAAGATCGATTAGTGAAGTAGAGGCGTCCAAGGATGAAGTATTAAGAATGTCTACATGCGACTAGTTCTGTTATTTTCTACCAATTAATTTTTATTTGGGGTGGAGTGTGTGTGACGGCGGACAGTCGCAAGGATAAAGTTGTCCTGGCATAATCCTCGGTTCGCAGTTCGTTGCTGTGTAGATCGATAAACCGCCTCCGATCAGATCACAACTTGCACAAAGACTTGAGTTGCTGTTACTCCTTGAATAAAATGTTCTTGAACGCATGCACTGACCCTGCAGTAAGTCGTAACGACCACCCGTCACCTCTATCAACCTCGGGAACATACAATCTTTGGAAAAATCGCTGCAAACGAGCTCGTATAATTTCGCCGAGCGAAATTTTTTTACGGTTTGGTGTGCAGTAAAGGGCGGAATTTTAATTAGCTGGCGCCTAAAAATTCATGAAGTGACTTAGAGGGTTGCGAATTATCAATAGTGGCGATTAGGGAACACGGGCACAATTGATGCAGAAGGATGAGTCTGCGAGGCAATTATGTAAGGGTGCATGGTGTTGGCGATCAAACCATTCTAAAACCAGATTACCGGTTAATTTATACCTTGGAGCGACCTGCTAGTTTTGTGTACATTTCTGCCTTCTGGCCCTTCAATAATTAATGTAATTTTCTTTCCAGAGCACCACCACATTTTCGTCGGAGACCTGAGCCCCGAAATAGAGACGCAGACGCTGAGGGAGGCCTTCGCCGCTTTCGGCGAGATATCGTAAGTCCATATATACTAATTATTTTATTATCCCGGCGAAATTAAAATTCTAAAATACGGTGCCCTAACAAAATTCTAAATGAGCAATTTCATTTCGTTTTAACCGCTTTCTCAACGTACTGTTTAGGAATTAGACATATTTTCCACCCATTTGCACTGCAATTTGCAAGCTGAAATAACCTCATTTCTCTTCGAGCTCCTGCTTTTTCGTAGCTACCTTCATGTGCACAGGTCACAAACACTTCTAAATTAGACAGACCTTCGGAAACCTCACAACTACATTAGCACAAAGCGAAGCTTTCTGTCATACAAATGTCGCCTTTGCGGCGTTACCTGTAACTAACTTAAACGCAAAAACGGAAATCTACAAACTGGTGATCTAACGCACACATGCAAATGTTAAATTTATGCCGTCGTTGTGTCCACAGGTACTGGCTTTTGAAGTGGGACGGACAACTCGGGATAGAATATAACACAAAAAGGATCAATTAACATAAAATTGCTTAATTAAAAACCACTTTATACTAAAAGCCTAAACAGAAAATTTTTATCTCTTGAATCATTTACCCCTTTGTGATGTCCACATTGCATAAACATGCTTAAATTATTTAAACCAACGCCAGTATCTCTAAGATATGTAAATGTTACATCACTCAAATCACCGCTAAGTGCTATATGATAATATAGGCTTGTTACTTACACCCGAAATCATTCTAATTTAAATTTAGCTTTTAGGTTAATTACCATAATTTAGGCAACAAAATACTCTCGATCAAATCCTTTACTTTCATCTGCTCAAGAACTTTTAGCGGCAGTAATTAGAATACAGTTTAGTTAACTACTCACCTTAACATTTTTTTGACCTGAAACCAGTAGCGCCTATGCGTTAGATTTTGATCATCTGGTATAAACGGTGCACATATTTATAATTAGTAGCTACTAATTAGACAGTGGGTTCACCTTTCTTATAGGTCGGGTGTAACCCAGACAGGGTTTATTTATGCGATCGAAGCAATTATGTCCACAGGTAGGAAGAATTGAAGCGGAATGATCGGGTCGGGATGGAAGTTTTCAACGTTGAACCGTTCACAACTGTGACATATCAAATTTACTTCAAAATTGTGTCACCGAACAAGTGAAAAATAAAATCACAATTCCTTACTATGCACGTGCTGACGTCAAAATCTCAAAAAAACTCACAAACAGCCCATTAACACACAAACATATATTTCCTGTGTCAGAGAAATGCTGCGTCTCCATTTCGTGCCATTTGTTCCAGTCACTGCAATCAAAATAAACGCGAATTATACACGAGTCTCGCGGTTGTCTCTTTTTTTCACCCAAGCCCCAAATATTGATATTCGTTTAATTCAAGATATAATTAGGATCAAATATGTCGTTCAACGAGCACGCGCAAATAATTAATTTAGTCTTTAATTTCCTGTAGCGTGTTGCCGCATAAAACGCGAAAAGACGTCGCGCGGAAGCTCGGAAAGTTTGTTTAAAGATGGCACGTTTAAAAAGTGGAATGGTTTTTGTTAGGCTGCCACCTTCGCGTAAAGGTCTAAATTTCTAGTGCAACAATCTTTGTAAACTATAATTATAAAAGCGTTTTTCCCTTTCCGCTGCATTCATAAATTCAATGCATAGCAGTGCGCAAAATTGCGACGCTATAAAAAAACAAGTGAGACTATAGAAGTAGCAATATCTAAACAATACTCACAGTAGCACAACTGACCCAAAAAAATGTATCTATAGAGAGAAAAACAAGGTTACAATTTGAGTATATTGTAGGAACAAAAATCTAAATTGTTAACACTTTCGATTTTAGCAGTTTTTCGCGTCTTATTTTTACTGTTTCATCAAGTGCTGTCTAGAAATGAGCGTGAAATTTTTCTACTAATATAACATATTTTTTGTCACGATTGAGGTCGGAATGTGAAGAGGAATTCATTCTTATGAGATTCTTTTTTGCAGTGTATATTCTGTTCTTTTAGCTGGTCATTTTGTGTAATTTGTAATATAACGTGGTATTGAAATTTAGGGTTATTATTTTGAAAAGAAGTTTGCTCCCCAACGTTACGCGCAAAAAAAAAATTGTATTCAAAGCGAAATCTTAACAAAGGGTGTATGTTATGTTTTAATTCTGCGTATCCGTAAATGCGTGATAGCAGCGTGGCCTTAAAAGCCGTGTTATGAGCTCTATTTAGCCTGCAATTTTTTATATGGGAGCGTAAAGGCACACCGGGTGTATGCAGAATCGCGCGAGTGAAATATGTATATATTTAGAAATTTTATTAAAGAGGTTTTATTGGCTCGAGCACGTTCATTCATTTTCACATAATAAAAGTGCAATAAACTTCCCCAAAGCAAATATCGCAAGCGTGTTACTTATGAAAAAGTTTTATGTTGGTAACCGTGCAACTGCTACGCATTCTGGAGCGCAAAACATGAAATATTTAAAGAGTTTCACGTTGTCCTGCTATAAATATTACGGGGGAGAACAAATAAAAATCCACTATTTACTGTCGAATTTTAGGGCGGTTGGGATCCAAAGTGGGACCAGACTAATTCCAAACCGCATGAATTAATTATGACTGTCGCACCGACAAGCATTCGTCAACTAGCTAAAAACTACGGTTATTTATTTCCTCATCGAAACTTCCATTCTTTACAACATTTTGTCGGGCATCACGTGTCGCAATGTCGTAAATAATCGATATCGCCCCCTGAATGTCATTTCACAATTTTTACTATTTCGCCGCAGTACTGATGAAACTCGTCTCATTACATCCACCCCACATAATTCCTCAGCCCTAAACTTTTATAGGACTCTATAATGCAGTCCCGTCTACATCAGCATTCCAATGGAGATGTTTCGTATTATACATTGGTTTGCTACATTCCTAACGACTTACTTACCGACACAGATACTACTACCAAACGCAACTGCACAGATTCGTCACCGTATGCACCGAACTTATAAAATAATACACAGACACATAAACTTTACGACCAGCTATAAAAGATAGTTTTCTTGGCATACCTGGGCCCAAATTTTACACCATTCTTTAGTGCAGGTGCAAAGCGAACGTTCTTCGTCTCGTTCTATACGACACCAAATACATATTTAAAACACAACACATACAAATAACACTAATTTTTTTTTCATTTAATTGATTGAAATTTGACATCTGAACAATTGCTGTGATTTTTGAAGCTGCTAAACACAAAAAAAAACCGCCACTGCTTTTGATTCGAATGAATTTTGTGTCGCAAATATATTTGGTTTGGCGCGGAGTCTCAGTTCGCACTTCTCCACCTGTAGTAGCACAATTACTCCAAAAATATAAGACGACTTCGAGTTGTGTTACCGCTTTCAGTGAACAGTGATCGATTCTTTACAAAAACTTGTTTCATGAGAGCGACATAAAAATGAAACTGTAAGCTAAGCAGTTTGACAAGCAAACTGTTTATTCTTTGTGTTATAAAAGCTGTTCATGAGCGTACCACGTAAACTAAATATAGAAATTCTGGCTTCACTTTCAAACCAATAATCTGAGAAAACGTTTAATAACTTATAGAAGTGATCAAAAATAGAGTGTGGGACAACACTCTATTTTTACTAATTCTAATATAAGTAATTGAATTAAAGTAAACGTAGGAATGAGTCGTGATGACACCTTGTATTTAAAAGATGAACAGTATTAGTTGGATTATTACGTAACAGTTTAATAGTTTGACAGTTATTAAGTCAGAAACTTGAGTGGAAAGCGCGACGTTCTGTTGAAACAGGCAGCGTTCTCTTTCTATCGATAATTGTCGTTTAAACGGCAAAGTTTTGCAGACTTTTAACCTTGTGCGAGTTTTCTTTGCGAGTTTATAATGTTGTATTGATTCGGTGTTGGTTTGCAACAGTCCGTAGTTAAAAATAAGAAACAGTTTGTTGTTAATCGCGTGCATTTTAAAATTTTCTTGCATGTGCGAGGTAGTTTTTTTTTGGGTGAGTGCATATCGGATGTTTTGTGAAGGTTTTCTGTACATGCAAAAATTCGTGGCGCGTATGTTGAAAACACCATATTGTTAGTAACAAAGGAACGCTAATTAGGGCGATACTATTGTGTTTGATGTGGCCCGTCCAGAAAAATAATGAAATGTTTGCAAAGCAGGTTCTTTGTTTATTATTTTTTCGAAACTCACCGCAAATCTGGAGATATTCGGGGAGATAAAATCCGAGCAAAATCGCGTGATGGAATAAAGCCGAGAAATTTTTCCGTCAGTTTTTATAAGAAAATGCGATTGTAAAGAAGTAAACAAAGGAAAGGAAACGGTAAACAAAATTATGAGTTTACAAAAGTATTTATGTTAGTGTTGACTGAGTGTGCGAAGTTCTAAGAACCGCCGCGATCAATGAGAAAATTAATCTTACAAGCGATTATTGAGCCAACTTCACAGCCAAAACCGTTAGATTTATGTAACTGGCGTCAACGGTGATGGCTGTCGTCCTTTTAAAACTGTCCAGGAATGATCAGGGTCGGATAAAGCGTAATTCCGTTTGCGAACGAGATTTCGACACATTTACCTTTTTTCAACTAAACTCAATTTTCTTATATAATTGCGTCAATTTTGCCTAATATCACGGAAATGTTCGCAATTCTTTTTTGCCCTCACGTTTCACGATCGATAACACCACTACTATTAACGTTGCGTCAACAATTATTGTTATTGGAACAGATCTTTGATTACGCAATCGGTCCACAAATATTACCAATCATATCGGGTGTCTAGTTCGGATTAACGTTCTATAATAGACAATATCCCCTGTTAAACACAACAGCAAAACAGGGCTACCACTGATTGACGATTTTACAAGACAGGAAAGAACCGTAACCATTCGAACATAGCTACCAAAATGCCACTCAAAATGCAGTTATTTGTATCATTTACTAACTTAAAAACTGCCACATATTAGCGCTAACCTATACAGAGCAGGCGTCAAT